TTCTCTTAACCTCGGCATTGGAATATGAATGTGTCGTTTTCTTGTTCAGCAATCGCGAGGTTTTTAAACAGCATACATTCCATATTCCAATGCCGAGGTTAAGAGAAAGTCGATCCTGGGAACTATGAAAAATCAGTCAAAGCTCAAGGTTTTCAGAGAAATCTAAGCGAAGTCTCGCTATGTACTACCTAATGCGAAAAAGAAAACGAAAATCTGATAATCGAAGGACTAAAAGAAATTTTTTCACGATATACTATGACTACTTCCTTAATAGAAAAGTATCATAGGGTTCTATTATGCCATCAAACCTCAAGATGATATGACAACCGCTATAAAAACAAATGAAACCAAAGTAGTGAGAGCAATAGTCAAACACCTGTTCCGCATTCTTTGAGTTGTAAGTGCTCGAGGGCGCAGAGTGGCATGGAGTTTTCCGGAATTTCTAAATAATCTGTGCACTGTTTTCTACAGAAAACTGTTCGAATGACATCTCCCTTAGTAATGCCCGCTGCTATTGTCAGCATGAGAACTGCAATGGCCATCTGCAAAAAATTGGAATGAGACGAACACCTACAAAAACGATTAAAAGAAGAAGGACGGTCAGAAACGAACCAGCCAACAAAAAAGGAAACGATTATATGTTATAAGTCATTCAGATAGAAAAAAAGCTCTATTCTAGGCCCTCGTTAGTTCATTTTCATGATGAACCAAATCGATTTCCAGAAAAAGGTGCAAGGTGGATTGTATCAACTCACTGTTCGAAACAGCTTAAGGATTGAGAACTCAGATGATACGGGTTCCACGGAATGACAACCAATATACAGCAGCCGTTAGTGACTGGATTCTTCGGGATGTTAAACGCACTGCAGGAAGACCACCGCCTCGATGGTCAGAGTTCTTCACGAAGAGCATAGAAGAAAGACTTCCACGAGTTCCTAGAGCGAGCAGAACCCACTGGACTACTCTTGCACGCGACAGGGAAAAATGGAAGAATTACTGGAGCCCGCTCGAGTTACTTGACAATCAACGGGGCTGCTGGTGAAGCAGCTGACGGTGCCACAGATTCACATATTTTCTGCATTCAAATTGGTGCGATTGATAACTGGCCTTAAAATCTCCGCTTGAACAGAGGCATTTATGGTGGTGATTGTGTTCGGAATTGCGCTTCACCATTCCTCTAAATCGCTGGTTCTCTCATTCTGTAAATTTCCTGAAATATGAGAACAACTAATTGCAGCGAAAACAGTGCATTTGATTTTAAATATCTGAAGAGAGACGGCACAGATTATCTGTCATCCGTGATCATCTATAAATTGCATTGAGAACTAGCACAGTCACCATGAAATGAAGCAACGGAAAAGAGACAAAACAGGTCCAGACAAAAGGCACAGAGGGATCTTGTAAACTTTGGATAAAAAGGATAAAGGGACAAAACTCTCGGCGTTGATCTATCCTTCAGGAATGCGGGAATGCGCCATGCATTCGACTTCGTTAAGCTCGTTTGGAGGTAACTGAATGTACATCTGGCCTTTACAATGACTCGCGGTGGCCTACCGATGCATCGAGCCAGTGCTGTTATCCTCCCAGACAAGTCTGGTACCAATTTGCCCACCCCGGATGGATGGAAAGCTTGGTGGGCCATGGACATGGTGATCGATTCCACGTTTGTGTCGTAGTGGCGCCTCCAACCACTGCGCCACACGCGCCCTAAATTAATTAGATACAATGTAAATATTCACGATTTGGCGAATGTGGAAAAGGTCGCACGACTTCGTTTTTACTTAAAATGAACAATTAAAGTATGACAGCAATGAATGACACATGCTGTCACCTATTGTAACTAATTAAAGAAACGACAAATAAAGCTTGAAGAGCGCAGATGCTGTATGGGGGAAGATGGTGAATTCCTGTGAATGAACATACTATGAACTGAATGGAATTCATAGGTGTGCAACATTGAAGAATAAAGGTTGTTCCTTATCGCTTTGCCTTCAGCTTAGAAAAGGTTTTACTTGCATGAGAAACTTATCTCAAGAGGTTTTACACAGTGAAAATTAAAGGAACGTCGATCACCGCAGGATGGTGAGGCAAGAGGATGCGGTGGATGAATGGACGAGTTTGCTCGACAACAGGAAGGATTGAAATTGGAGAAACTGTCAAGTAGTGTAGAAAAGTTGCTCTTATGTTTGCTAAACGGTAAAAAGAGAGACAAAGACAAAAAATACAAGTAATCATAGCTTGGAGTTCGATTAAGTGACAGAAAAAAACAGTACGATAAAAACACTGCAAAAAGAATTAAGCGGTAGAAGTTTCTCCTTGATTACCACGTTGCCATAAAAAAGGGACAAAAACGTAAGTCTAAAGTGGTTTGCGTAAAACCGTAAAACCGGAACCGAGAACAAAACTACTAGAAGGAAGGCCAACAAAGGCTGCGATGTCAAAACAGTCGAACTAGTTGGTAATCCATATTACACAAGGTTCTCCTTTAAATCCTACCCATATATGCTGTTGGGACACCTCTTAAGCTTATAAAATAAAGAAACTGGTCTTTCAGGATCATTAAATAGTTCGGGTAAAAAAACACGCGGAATTTGGTGTGACGACGGCACGATAACAAATTCCTTCTCAACAAATGTCAACATACGTACATACACACATACACACATACACACATATGCATACATAGACAAATACAAGCACAAACACACATACACACATACCCATATACACAAATACACACATACACGTACATACAAATACACGCACATTGAACGTTCACAGATACATACATCCATGTAAACCAGAACGCCCTGATGATGGAGCCACGTATGATGTGGTTCTCTAATGAGAGGTGAGGACTGGCCCTGTGCGACTATTCAACGAGGAAGTGTGTCGTACCGCACTCAAGACGTCACAGACCACGTTTCAGTGATGAATCGATCACTCCGGAATCCGTTATTAACGAAAATATTTGTGCTTTTCGGCGAAAGGATAGAGAGCTCAGCCGATGCGAAGAAAAAACAGTAATGCATAGCAACTTTCATCTATAGCACCGTACCACATCCATATATAATAATGCATAAGACTAAGCGGATATAAAGAAAAGCAAACTCTTGAATACTTCAAGTGAATGATCGGCTTCGCATCAGTGTTTTGTGCGCCGCATTTTCTCAAAGACTCTATTTATTAGCTGCTCACTGAAACCCGCCACGAAACCCAAACGAAGACAGATGATATGCTAGAAAATGGAAGCAAGAACAGCTTATAGGTAAACCTGGCGCTACACGCACAGGTTGAACCTTTCCACTGAATCCAGAGGAGTTTCCGAACAATGACAGCCAGAGCTTAACCGGCACTTCGGCAAGGTCTACGTATACCAGCGTACAATCGGCTCTAACTCTGACATTTTATTCTACTAATCACTACATTCTTATCGTTCTGGACACCAGATAATTAAACCTATCACTTGCATGTTAACATGCGACTTATTGAGACGTGGAGAGCACGATTTAACAATCGAGCCAAAATAGAAAAAAAAGTTTTCTTGATTTTTATACAACCCGTCATTCACATTCACTGTACGGTTTCCAGCAATTCCCACCTTCGATTCGTCTCCTCTCATCCATCACGATTTCAAAGAATGATTTTTCCCGCATTATTCCGGCACCGATTTCCCTGGAAAGATGAGAGGCTTTCTGAATCCCGGTGCGGGATCCAACCAGCACCGTGCTCGAAATCATCAGCATCACCACCATCGTGCTATCCGCCCCTAATAATCGAACAAAATTCCTCATATAATAGAAGACTCTCTCCAAGGATTCTATAGATGATACGAACTTTTTGACAAGCCCCTATCAGTTACGTTCCACAACGCTATCTCATTAACGTGCTGACGGATACGCGGAAATAGAATAAGTTCGTAACACTTCCGCGTCACGACTGCACTTTTAGTAAAAAAAAATTACCCTCTACGTCACATTAATCATTCGGGACGAAACCTGTCAGAGGATCTCATTTTTGAGCACTTTTTAACGTTGCTTAAAGATTTAATGTCAGCCAGAGGCTTATATAATGGAGCAGCTTTGGCTTTCTTAGAGCAAAGAGCCATACAAATTGTTCTTGTTTGTGGTGATGCGCTACTTTAAGGCATTAAAGAACTAGTATTTTTCTCGTTTGCGGGAATTCATACCTTTTCTTGAAGCCTTCTTGAAACAACGACAACAACAACGAAGATCTGTACCAACCTCGCGTCAGCTTAAGAAGATCAGCTTATAAAATCACATAAATAAACATATGAACATATTCGATTCTCTAGGCAAATTTATCATTTTACTAGAAATAGTTTAAAATATAAATAACAAAGTGAAATCGAATGTTAAATAGTTCTGATGAAGAATCACCATAGAAATAGAACATCCACATAAGACAATATTTATTCCCATGACCGACTTTCTGTTAACCTCGGCATTAATTGATAATTCAATGTTTTTCATCAATAAGCAGACACGAGGTTGTTAATATAGAATTTATTAGAACACAATTGCTGACGTTTCGGCGGTTTCACCTTCTTCAGAGCCTGGAAAGGTCAAATTGAGATGTGATCTACTCAGCCAAACACTTTCACAACCCCAGCAGATAAAACTTGACAATTCGATTTTCATTCGCATAAGAAACAGCTTCATTCAAACACCTACCGTTTATTTGTTGTAAGTATTTAAGTTAGTTGGTGGATAGCCGCCGCACAGAGTAATACATGGTCGATAACTGGGTCCATGTCACTCTGTGCGGCGGCTATCCACCTACTAACTTAAATACTTACAACAAATAAACGGTAGGTGTTTGAATGAAGCTGTTTCTTATGCGAATGAAAATCGATTTATCAAGTTTTATCTGCTAGGGTTATGAAAGTGTTTGGCTGAGTAGATCACATCTCAATTTGACCTTTCCAGGCTCTGAAGAAGGCGAAACCGCCGAAACGTCAGCAATTGTGTTCTAATAAATTCTATATTAACAACCTCGTGTCTGCTTATTGATGAAAAACATTGAATTAACAATATTTATTATTGGTCTACAGAAAGTAGTCAAACTTTGTAAGTTAATTATAGTAGTAGTACGAATAACTCTTCGTCTATGGTGCAATCAATTACTATATTTCGTTGCAGTTCGGTCAACCGAAGATACGATGAGAACAACACCCTGCCTTGAACGATGAAACATTGCCGACAAAAGGACAGTGGAAAATGAAGTATCACAATGTGAAACACGGAAATAAAGAAGTATGGAAAAACAAAAAAAAGAATTCGGTAACGATAATCGAAATACCACCGAGTAATGTAAGGCGCCAACTAGTTCGTAACCGCCTATACGACCGTCTATGTGCAACGCAAAATTGCATAATTTGCCCCAATGGTAGAGACGGCGACTGCATGAGTTCGGGTACAGTCTATCTGATCTCTTGTAAAGCGTGCGGGGACGAATACGTTGGCGAAACGGGTACTGGCACTCTGCGTACGTATGAAAAAACACCTGGTCGGCAAACGTA